ACTTTCTTCTCTATTACCTATTCTCCTTTTCCTCCTTCCCTTCTCTACTAGGTAGGAGTTTGACCAATTAGAGAATCTGGTGTCACTGATATAGATTCCTGACATTCTAGAAGCAAATGCAGAAAGGGTCCCCATTGGTAGCAGGGCTGGCAAAAATAAAAGACTGGTTTTTAAATTTAGTATTTAGGGACTAATATGACAAGGAGCACATAAGATCTCTAGGCAGAAAAATAAAATTCTAATAAAAAACACTGGTGGTCTGAATAAATGGAAAGATATGCAAAGCCCTCGGAAGACATGACTTAATATTACAAAGGTGTCAACTTTCTCCAAATGATATAATGATTCAATGCAATCCCCAAGAAAAACTTCCCTCAAAGGGAAACTTCTTTTTTTTTTTTTATTTGAGACAGTCTTGCTCTGTCACCCAGGCTAGAGTTCAGTGGTGCAATCTCAGCTCACTGCAACCTCCACCTCCTTGGTTCAAGCGATTCTTCTGCCTCGGCCTCCAGAGTAGCTGGGATCACAGGTGCCTGTCACCATGCCTGGCTAATTTTTATATTTTTAGTAGAGATGAGGTTTCACCATGTTGGCCAGGTTGGTCTCCAACTCCTGACCTCGTAATCCACCCACCTTGGCCTCCCAAAGTGCTGGGATTACAGGTGTGAGCCACTGCACTGGGCTGGAAACTTCTTAAACTTATTCTAGAATTTATACATAAGGATAAAGACTCATAAATACCCAAGTCAAACCTTAAAAGGGAAAATAAATAGAGGAGACTTAACTAATTAGATATTAAGAGTTGCCTCAATGTTATTGCATTAAAAACAGAGGGAGAGGTATTGGGACAAAAAGAGCTAAAAAAAATTGAATAAAGGGCTCAGTGATAAAACTGAAATATGCAAACCTACTATGCAAGAACATCAGCACCACAAATCAATTAAGAAAAGAATAGACAGCTGTTGGTAGAAAAACAAACTCTTCCCATGATAAAAATAAGAATGGATCCTTGTGAAACATCTCATATAGTGGTAGAAATAAGCTGGATTAGAAACTTAAATGTGAAAGACACACTCATAAAACCAATAAAAGAAAATGTAGGTTCACATCTTTGTGACATGGGTTAGAAAGGCCTTCTCCAAAATACAACTTGAAAATCATAAACCAGAAGGCAAAAAAGAGATGATTTGAATATTTTTAAAAGCCTTTAAAGGCTTTGTAGTCAAAGAAGGATACCACATATTAATAGACAGATGACAAGATGAGAACATATATTTAAATTGTCTAAATCTAACAAGGGATTAGTAACTAGAATCAGAAGGAACTTTTTACATATCAAAAAGAAAAGATGGTAACTGAAATAGAAAAATGGGCAAAGGACATGAATAGGCAATTAACAGAAGAGGAAACCCAGTAAACTAACAGGCATATATATGAATAGATGTTCAAATTCATTAATTACCAGAGAAATGCAAATTAAAACAACAATGACCTATTATTTTACACCTATCAGACTGGCAAAAAAATTAGCTGAATACTCGGGAAAGTTGGCAGGAATGGAGAAATTTGCATGTAGGGTTGGTAGGACTGTGGATTGACCACTCTGGAGTATAATATGAGAGAGCACTTAAACTATGCATAGCCTTTGGCCAGCAATGCTTTGGGTTGGTGTGTCCCAGAGGAATTCTCACACAGGAAGATATGTACAAAGATGTCCACTGTGGTGGTGTTAGTGGTGATGAGGTGTTAGAGGTATAAGGAGATGGAGTACATCTTCTCTACAAAAACAGATACAAAGTGCTGTATACCACAAATTATGCAGCAATCGAAAGCCACAGTGCAGAAGGACACAGTGGAATATGAATGGTTCCTAACACAATGATGAGGGCACAAAGTAAGAAATAAAACAAGACTCAGAACAATTTATTAACTTAAGAATGCAGAGGATGAAAGATACACATTTTAGAAAAAAGAACTAAAAGGGAATGGATGAATAAAATGAAACAAAAGGAATGAATGAATCAAGAAACCTGTGCTGATAAAATGTGCATGAACAAGGGAGTGTGATGATTCAACTATCTAAACCTGAGATCCAAACAGAGCATAGCGAAGAGGAGAGGAAAAGGCTCTGAAAAGAAATGTACATGTATTTATCAGCTGCCATCCTCTCCCTGGCAACTGGGTCATTTGGAAAATACCAGCAGCTGACAGACATTACTTATGGCCCTGTCTTATACTCCGCAGGCACCATATGCCCTGAGAGAAACTTCAAGATGAAAGCAACAAATTCAGAAGTTCCTTTTTGCTATCTGCTTCTTCAAAACATTCTGGCTCTGTGATAAAATGTTTGCATTGAAATTCCCATCAAAACATTTCCTAGAAAGGAAAATGCTGGACATTTGGAATTTGGATACTAGACATTTGGAATCTGGTTAAGAAGAGCAGTGCCTCACTCTTAAATTCATATCAGATTGGCTTCAAGATTGTGTCATAAATAGAAGGAGTGCGGCAGAACAATCAAGACCCAGAGCATTAGCGCCACCTGTGGCAGGTGAGCCCTATGGGTTTGGATTAAATTGCAAACTACTGCAATCAAGAGATATAGTACAACCACCACCCCAGCAGGGAGGGGAAGCTAAGAACATGTACCATGTGGGAAAGAACTCAAAAAAGGGTGAAGAAACACTAAACACTGGTTTGCCAGCTTGGAAATCAAGGAATACCCTAAAAAAAAATTCCTATTTAAATGACTCCTGAAAATGTGGCCAATATTTTTAACCCATCTTTTTATCTCCTGTGTGCTAGAGTAAAGGGTAATGACTGAAGAATCATTTAGACACCCAAGACAAGCAACTCTCTTTGCTCTGTGAATAATGGGATGCAAAAAGTCACAACTGCTTGTATTTTCCAAAATAAAACTGTTTGTATTATTCTTTTCTTGAGGGAGGTCAAATAATGCATGTTATTATGTATGTTGTTCTAGAGCCTACTTTTTTAAATTTAAATTATCAACATACTATCAACACAATTTCTGCAAATATATCCAGCCCTCTCTGGCTCTTTCTAAAGGCTGTGTATTACTCCATAATTTATTTATCCAACTCCCTATTTAGTATTTAGATTGTTACCCATTCTTTGCTATTATTACCAATGCCCCAACAAACTTATTTGTTGTACAAACCATCTTTGCATGCCAATGATTTCTTTAGGACAAGCTGTTGGGAGGTTAAAGGGTGGTGACTTTTTCAAGGCTTCCAAAGCGTATTCTCAAAATGCCTTACAGAAATGTCAGAACCAGTTGTCTTTCAACTCTATCGGGATTTATCTCAAGTACAGCGATGCAGGTTCATAAGGTCACAAGTTATAAGTGAACTTCTGACCGGTGTTGGGGAGGTCTCCATTCACATGTCTCTCCTCCCCCACCACTTTTCGGTCCTTTATCATGGAGGCACTGTGTCCCAGGTGGGGCCAGGTGTGAGTATCTGTCAGTGTAGCCTGCTTGCCATCCATCCCCTCTGCTCCTGATGGCTTCCCTGATTTCCCTCTGGGAAACTACTCTGCCACCATTTTTTTGGGAGCAGTCTTGAAACTCTCAATCAAAGTGTACAGTTTTCCCCTGGGTGGACCCAAGTTAGACTAACTTGGTGCCTGGGAATCTCAATCTTCAGAAAGGTGAGGCAAGGACTACAAATGGTTCAGAGTTTTATCATTTTGCAGGTGTTATCCAGAAGACCCTTTCTTACCGGGTTCCTGGGTCTCCAGAACTCTTCTATTCTCAAGCCAGGTTTTTCAGCTCCTCTGGCCTATGAGCCTTACATATTCCCACAGTATTGTAACTGTTGTTATTGCCTCAGTCAGAGTTGACTTCAGGTACTCTAAAAAAAAAATCCTACCTAATGGTGGTAGGGTGGGGTGGAATTACTTCCTTGTTTCCTTGAATATTTACTTAAAAATTTTCCCCTGTTCAGTTTTTTTGGGGGATGGGGAGGGAACCTTTTTTCCTCTTATAAAGGCCTCTCAATCTACCAACAGGAGGCATTCCAAATTACTTAATATTTTATACAAAACTCCTGGGCAAAAATTGTATTTTGAAGAGAAAGAAAGGGGGAAAAATCTCTGTCCTATAATGGCTTTCACAAAAAAAATCATCCTTTCGTCCACATGGAGAGGCACTGTTCTCCTGATTTTCCTAAACGTAACTGGAATTCACAGTAGGGCTACCTTTACATTTTTTCTCAAGTGGATTTTACAAAGCAAATCTGAGGCAAGGTACAAGATTTCCTTTGTACTCCTGCAGCAACCTGGAAGGATTTTGTTTTTTCTCCTATGCACCAAGGAGATAATCAGCCCAAACACTCTACCAGTAGCAGGTTCATTTTAATCCCATCGCCTTTACAAGGTTATGTACCCTTGGAAATCATGATTAACCAGAGTGCTTAGAGGCAGCAGCAGGGTAAATGGACTATAGTCTACAGAGGCTGCCCAGGGACACCTCCATCACGGAGGAATATTACCATAGAATTCATCTCCATTCTTTCCTCCCTCAAGAATTCACAAAGAAAACAGTTACTAAGAAATCACCTAACATAGTTATTGCCTCTCCAGTCCTTGGAGCGAGAGACAATGCGGGAGGCAAGAACAACTCTGACTTTCTCACAAAGGCTCTTGAGGAATTGAGTATTACTGTATTAAGTAACTTTTAAGTGGTGACGAGCTATAGTCTTAAGAAGACCTACAATTAAAGAAAATAATGTACACGAGAATGCTTTGTAAACTGTGATGTGTTATTTAAATGCAAGGTGTCACTACAGCCTTGCCAACCAGGCTCACTTACAGGAGTCACTGATGGAAAGTCAGGGTAGAGGCATGTCCCACTCCACTTGGGAACTGGGGCCAACCCAACATGCCCACAGCACCGCCTGGTGGTTCACACCTGCAGTAGCGACTTCTCAAACCCCACTCCCAACCCTGGTAGTAGGTTACCCAAGCATCATACTTACTCCCTTCACTCTGGCTGTCTTTGTTCGAGTTGTAGACCTGAAAAACAAAAATAAAGATTCACTTGTGTGTATTTCATACCACCTTATAGGTTCACTGCAGAAAACCATTATATTCCTCATTTTCCCTAGTTTGCACCATAAAGTGGGAGGTAATTTCTGGCTCCCAAATATAAACCCAATCAATAATTATCTACTTCTCAGTATTCACATTAGCTGTTCATAAGTGTGTGTGCATCAGAATCATCTGTGCCACTTTATTGTGTAAAAAAAAATCATATTTCCTCTTTTTAAGAAAGCAAGTAAATGTATATGTGTATATAAATAGAAAGGAGAAAAAAATTTAAAATTAGTTACAAATCATTAAGCATGAACTGCGCACCAGGCAATGTGCTAAGCAACTCACATTACTAATCTGAAATAACCAACATGACAATTCTGTTGAACAGGAGCTGTTATTATCACTGCTTCACAGATGGAGGAGATGAGGCCTAGAGAGGTTAACTAATATCTCACAGCTAGTTAGTGGCAGTCAGGACCTTTACATCAAAAACTGTTGACTGTTAATACTGGGGAGAGGGAACTGTTACTTCTTACTCTACATACTTCTAGAAATTTGAATGTCATCAGAAAAATATCTATTTAACCGCTGAACCCCTTAAACAATCTATGTAAATCATAAAAAGGGAAAGTACCCCAATAAAAAAAAAAAGAAAATACCCCAATATAAAAGAGACAATGGCATATTACAAGGGTCAGCAAGTTTTTCCTGTAAAGGGTCAAATGTTAACATTTTAGGCTTTTTGGGCCAACAGGCAAAATCAATGATATTATGTAGGTACTTCCATAAGACAGAAAGTAAATTTTCAAAAAAATTTTGACAACGTTTAAAACCTAATAATAATACTTGAGTAGAAGTTTTAAAATACAAGCCTACTAATCAGAAGAATGGATTTTTAAAGAGCAGTTGAGCTTAACTGGTGCTCAAAGTTAGTATTCCTTCTAAAGCCGATTGCAGATATTTGTAAATACGATGCTTGGCTCATGAGCTCTAAAAAAGAAGGTGGTGGGCCAGATTTGGTCTGTAGGTCACAGTTTGCCCATCCCTGATATGCTGTCATGATTAAATAAGATGAAACCTCTACTTTAGAAAAGAAAAAATCATAGAACCCAAACCCTTCTTTTGTTATTAAGGTTCTGTAGGTATAGAAAGGTGTAAGGTAACCTAATCATAATTTGTATGTGTGTGTACATACATGTATCCCTCCAGTGATTCTAATGGCTACTCTCAGTTGAGAACCACTTATTTAACTCCTAAAGGAATCGAGGCAAGCATCTCTGAAAAGAATTATTAAATCCAGAAAAGTATTTTTCACTTAAGAACTATGACTCAGAATGGCTGGGTCAAGAGGCCCCACTTAGCCCTTTAGCTGTGTTGTGTCATTGGGTCTCAGCCTCTCTGGGCATCTATTTCCTCATCTATACATTGAAGGAAGGAAGGAGTTGCCCAAGCAGGTCTTTGAATTATCAAGTTCTAAATGCAACAAATCACTCTATTTTATTATTAATTTTCTAAAGAAAACTAAAGCTACAAGGCCACTTACTAAATGTCAGAAAGATGAGGTTTTCTACACTTAAGGAGGATTGTCTAATGAATGAAAGACATCAATGCATACACCTAAAAATTCTAGAGACGAGGAGTCAAAAGATTTTGATCTTGGCCTGGGCTTCCCCGCTGATAACTTCATCTTGCTGAACTTTAATTTCTTCATCTACAAAACGTGGGCAATGATAGGTTTTTCTGACTGACTCAGCCAGAGTGGCTGTGAATATCAAATGAGACTGTGCAAAAGAAATATACTAAAACAGCACAACACAATGCAGGTGCTTTGGACTCCACTACTGAGAAAAGAAATGCTTAACATTCATGGAATTTGAGGGGAAGGCAAAAGTCACCACCAAGGCTAGATGAAGGCTGACATAGAGGTTGTCTAATTTCTACATAAAAGAGGAGCCACAGTGGCCCATTCTCCCTCAGCAGCATCTCTATCATCTACATAAATGAATGTGAACTAGATCATGGTTTCCAAATTGAGCCCCACAGCACCTGCACAAACAAGGACTGCCAACGGGGCTGGAGAGAAGCTAAGACCCCAGCTGACCAAATGTCCCCTCCACTGGCTTTTAGGCATTTTACTCATGTGGCTACTGAACAAGAAGATAGTGGCTTTGAAAAGTTTGAAGACCTCCGAAATAGTAATGTTGCTTGCAATTCACTTACTTATTCATGCATTTTACAAACACATACTGTGTGCCTATAATGGTCGGGCAACGTTCCAGGTGCCGGGAATACAGATGAACTAGACATCCATAATCTCTGCTCTCGTAAAACTTTCCAGTTAGGGAAGAAAACAGAAATAAGCAGATGTACAAATATGATTACTCCAAATATTGATAAGTACATTAGAGGAAGTTAAGAAAGGGGGAGTATTGCGGACTTCAAGTGAGGAAATGCTTCTCGGAAGAGGTGACCTTTGCATGAGGCCTGAATGATAAGGGGAACCTCCTTGGGAAGACAGGAGAACCTGTGCCAACAGAAAGTACAGGTCCTCAGAAGGTGAAAAGGCATTGCCTTTGAAGGAAGAAGGCCAGTGTGGTTGGCAATCAGTGCAATGCAGAGAGGGGTGGAAGATGATGATAGGGCAGAGGGGCAGTGATCCCATCCTGCAGAGCCTGTGACCTGTGAGTGAAATGAGTCACTGTGTAACAGCTAGGACCAGCGATCCAGTGACTAGCATTCACTAACCTTGGAAAGTTGGACAAGAAAAGTTCAGGTAGGAAGACCACACTTTGGCAAGTATTTTTCTCAACCATCCTTGATCACTGCATTTCTCCCAGTAAATTCAAACTTCTATCCAAGAGAAACTTGCTTCTATTTATAGCTGGCAAAATCCAGAAAAAAATAGTAAAATGCAAGACTTCCAGGCCTCCTTAATTAGGAGATGAATTTGTGCCAAATTATTTCAAGGTTTCCTGGGTCTCGGAAGACCCCTTCCTGGAATACCCAAGCATTCCCTGAATTCCCTGAATTGGAGAAGCGTGATCAATGAGCCAAAGGCACCAGAAACATGTACCTGCCTGCTCCTCTGAGGCCAGGCCATTAATCTCTGTCTGGTTTGGGTTAATGAGAAAAGAGAATGAGTTTTGAAATGAAGCTAACAAATCCTGCTTACCACGACTTTGTAAGCTTGTCCTGCTTACCAGGACAAGAAAGGCCCAGGGTTGGGGAGCAACCAGTTGGTGGCTCAGTCTCAGCACTAAGCAGGGATGGTTTTGTGGACCTAGCACTTACCAAGTGCCACACATGACAACATCTAATCCTTGTAACCACCATATGGATGAGGTCTAGTATCATTCACATTTTAAAGCTATGGAACCCGAGACTCAGGGTGGTTACACAGTTTGTCTAAGGACACAGAACTGGTCAGTGGTGGACTATTCCATCTTGCCTCTAAAAGGATATTCCAATCCCCTTTTAACTTTCTAGGCAGTGCAAATATATACTACTACCAAGTCACTCCAGTGGTTGGTATTATGGTTCATAAACACTTTCTATATTGACAGAAGCAAAGAGCAACCAATCCACCCTTTAGAAATGGTTGATCTGCTCTGGGCTATCCTTCTTCTACAGATCTCACAGTTGGCCACTAGCATCAGACTGAGGTTCAGGGGCAAGAGCAATGTCCTGAAAGGTCACTTTGGCCACAGCTTTGTCTTATGATTAGCAATCTCAAATTTGTATGCTTTCAGGTAAGCCTCTCAAGAGCATCTACTTAAACAGAATAGAACGCAACTCTCCAGGAGCAACTCAAGGGGACAAGGGGCACTAAATAATGCCTGATTTATGGCTCCTAAGAAGACTGAAACAGTTAATGTACCTTCAACAACCCAGCTTAAGCTGAACTCTATCTGTCCTGCTTCGCTAGAGTACTCTAAAACCTTGAAACGTTATCCCCTTTGGGTTTACATACTTTGATGTTGGTATAGTCTAGTTTCTACTGACCATTATACACGAAGATTTGTTGACTATCCATGCCAATGAGTATCTGTTTCCAAGTCTATTCTTCTAGAGAAATACATGTGTTTATCTTATCACGGTCACTAAAGAATAATTACAACAGATAGAATTTAATAATGATGATGATGACAAAAGCCTTACTATGTGCCAGACACCATGCCAAGCATTCTATGTGCATTGTCCTATTCAGTTCTCATACCAGCCTAATTATTCCTATCATAGAGATGAGAAAACTGAGGCATTAGAGAAGTTAGGTCACATGCCCAAGGTCAGACATCTGAAAATGGGCTGAGTCCAGACAGGAACTCCCACAGTCTGTCTCCAGAGCTCAAGCACTTAACCACTAACCACATGATAAATAAGCCATTGTGATGATGATGATGATGATGATGATGATGATGATGATGATGGTTATGGTGGTGGTGGTGAGATGGTGTGGGCAGTTGGGCAGGTGAATCACCAGAAGAAAGAACTTGCCCTAAGTCAGACAGAAAATGAAACTGGGAACAGTCTTCTGATTCTAGCCTGGAGCATTCACCACCCATGCAACCAGCTGGCATCTAGTGTAGAAGTAACACCTCATTTTCTTTCTGAACCACAGGGTTCGATCCTGACAATAAATACCAGGGGAGGAGAGTAGCTCTTTGATACAAATCACAGGGCACTGCAATTCTGAGTCCTTACCCAGAAGCTACAATGAAAGTACAATTTAATAAATCAAAGAAGGGTGAGGAAAGCCTTCATATGCTTCCTCTGCACCAAGATGTGATTTTGCAATAAATTCTGTTCACTGCTGAGCCAATTCAGTTTACATGTCCCTACAGAATCAACAGAAAATACACAGAGTCATTTGGATTCCCAGAATTCTTCTATGAGTGCCTTTATTACCATTATCCAAGCTGTACTGAGAAAGCAGAGAAGTTTTTTTTCCTAAACTTAGAAATTAAAGACATAAGTAAAGT